GCAACCCCTGCACTCATGTTCATGTTGCGGCCTGCATGGCCAAGGCTTCCACTCTGAAACTGTCCATTGACGCTATCGTTCTACTGCTGCTGCTACGGTACAACCGCCGTGGTATCTCTTTCCATTGCCCATCAGCGTGTTTAGGGGAGTTACTCTGCTGGGGCGGCGAGGTGGATGAAATCTGCCGCGACGGATACGTCAGGGACCCGGACTGGGGTGATGATGACGACGGCGGCGACGATTTTTTCGACTCCGACGTTGCGTGTTTGCAAGAAGCGGTGACTTGCTCCACGTCGTCCGAGTGCACGGAATGCGCCGCCATTCTTGATGACAGCTCAGAAACCACCGCCTCCGAGGGGGATTGCCCTCCGTACAACAACACCGGCTGCGAAGATTTTGCGGATGCGATGTGCTGCCTGTACGGAAGCTCGCCTACTTGCCGGGAAGACGAGGAATTTAACGAATACATCGGTGAGGGCGCCCGAGCATACGTTGCCGATTTCGTTGTTGTCGTCGTGGTGGTTGTCGTCGTCGTTGCTGCTGCGGTGGCTGCTGCTCCTGTAACGGTCTCGTAGAGGAAGCACCTGTCTGCATGCTTCATAACATCCAGGCTAAACAAGCTGGTCGTTTCATCCCTCCGAAGCCGTGAGACAAGCGTTACGGGATTTTTCCCCGACCCGATTGACGTTTCAAAATCTAAGAACATCAGCAAGATGCATCAACCCCCGTAGACGCAGATGTCAGAGTGGGAGTAAACGACCGCGCGATGCTGACGACCCGCACGCTTCTGCAGTAGAAGAATACCTCCCAATAAAGAATAGTGAGAGATTCGATAAATTCCAACTCGAGACGAACGACACTTAGTTCTTCATCTAGCCACAATATTAATTCGCTTTCGACGAAGGCCATGGTCCTCGATATGTACTCTCCAAACCCAAAAACAATTAATTAAATCAAACACCCCCATATATTTTATATTCTCCAAGGAGTCGCACAGGGATGTACGATGTCACCCACTCTTTTTAAGATTTACATCAACGATTTGATAAGGGCGGTTGGAGCAGTAAGACAGGGAGTCCAAGTAGAGGGAAAGAGTGTGTCCGGACTGATGTTTGCAGATGATTTCGTATCTGCTGCTATAGGCACCCGACGATTCCTGCGATCAAACTTCTCTGCAGCTCTGTGGTACCTCGACCCTGTCCGCGTGTAATCGCTAGTAGTCTCGTCTTGATTCCGCTGGCTTCCTGATGGACACGATTTGGCACCGTGGGGAGAAAGTTGGTTTCGTTCCATGATCCTTTCCTGGATCCCGGGCTAGGGATACGGAGAGGGTCCGGAAACTACAGTAGGGGCAAACGGCCGAGAGAATCTGGCCAACATATACATACATGCGGTTCCTACCTCGCCACTCGGAGCTGCACATGATGAACACGCGAGACGAAGGGATCAGAGGTCGCAAAGTGCGGTGCACCCCAAAATAAATGTCGGGCTTCCGTCACATGCTTAGGCTTGCGATGGGTTCTCTCTCCGTATTTGTACAAAAGCTATATGCATTGCATTTATGGCAGATTCTGTGTGTCGTGACAACGTTTCCTCCGCGATCCGGACATGTTGCCTGTGCTGATCGATTTTGCCTAGATTGCCTGACGTCAGAGTATTTCGCCTGCGCCGCCGATGGACTCTGCGATGACGACGACGACGACGACGACGACGACGACGACGTGTCCAACGAAAGCGATGACGACACAAGTGGGGCCTCGGGGGGGGAGACCCCTTTTTCTTTGAGACAACTGTTGTTCTGCGTTGTTGGAGTTGGATTCTGGGCTTGGGCAAATGCCTAACCAACAATTGTAGAGTACCATTCTTGTCGCCTCAGCGGCCGACATGGTGGGGTTAGCTGGAGGGGAGGGGGTTGTTGCATTTCAACTAAGCCCCAGTTTTGATGCTGTTGCCTTTTCTTCGTGATCCCATGTTGTTGTTCTGGATATCGGTCCTTACACCTTTCGGTGGATTCAATCTGGACGTACCAGCCGGGGGTTACACAGGAGGAAGGACAGCCAGGAGTTGTATTCTCCGCCTTCCTTCTGCGGTGCTTGCCTTGACTTTTACAGCAGGAGGGGTTCAGCTGTTATTTTTCTTGTCGTGGGCCTTGAAGTCGACGTTTTTGCGCCCTCCCGAAATACTCGCGTTCCGCTTTGTTTGGCCATAAAGTGAACAGCACTCCCGGTTCGAGTCACTGCACCGAGATTCCAACCCACGTCCAAACGTCACAAGGTTGCGAGGTTACCTTCACGACCACCCAGCTACTATTGTGTGACCCAACGGTGTTGGGCACAACACGTAGATGTCGCAGCGGAGGATGGCTCCTTCCAGACAAGTGTACTCTGTGCCAGCTTACTCTGGAAGTGACACACCCACGTCTACAAAGGAGGCGGATGGGATCCGTGCAACGACGTGTGCCCGTGCTCATGCCAAGGAGTATGTCTTTTTGGAGGAAGACACGTTAGTGACGATGTTCCTTTTCACAGGAATAGACAAAGCAAGACCTTGCGAGAACCCCAGCTCCGACAGTAAACGACACGAAATAGTCTAGGCGTTTGAGTGGAAAAATGCTCCACTTGCCATCGACACTGCTCCGGAGGATGCAGCGGATATTGCTCCGCCGTCACTCTTGCCAAACGGCCAGTTGGCACGATTTTGTTCGATGAATGTGTTGGCCTCCTTGTTGTGCAAATACGAAATAATAGAACCAGCGGTCCCAACCAGCAGGAACTTGAGTAGCGAACGGTTGTTGGAATGCGCGGCGAACCAATCAGAACGGGCCACTGGAACCAGGAACACTAAACCCGGCCTTTCAAAGAGTACACGGCTCGACTTCGCGTCGCGAGATGCCAAGGGCAGCTGTCACGCCTGAATTGATTGGTCTACTGGCCTTGGTTGAAAGTTATTGTTGTTATTGTTGTTCGTGAGTCTTCCTCACGAAATGCCGCCGTCGTTCTTACCGGTTACTGGCTTGTCGATACTACACGGCATGAAATCTACCCAGGACGTCGTCTATACGCTTCAAGGAAAGAATTGGAATCTGGGGGGATGAGTCAACCCCAGGAAATGCCACGAATGAAAAGCAAAGGCCCCACGAAACCGTCACACACTGCTGTAAACAAAATTGCAACTAGGTGCGAATAATACCTAAAATAAAGAGGTACGTAAAACATGATGGGATGAGAAGACCAGATCAGGTAAGCGGAGCCCCTGGCACAAACTCGCAACAGCGAGAGTACAATACAAAAACAAACGCACCATGAAACGGACAAATTTCGCGAAACGACCAGCACTTGAACTACCTCTCCTAGCACCCGCCCGAAGCCAGAGGAACGTGTGTCGGCTACAGTAGTATTTTCCCCATCCACACCAGCTTCCCTCCTACAACCTGGAGGCATGGTATGTGCTATAGACTACCGGGTGCAAGTCGAGTCAGGAATACAAAGACGTACGTCACGCGAAGATACGGGATGTTTGCCTGGCGAGTGCAAAAATAAAAGAGAGCTCCCCAGAAACCGTTGAGCATGGCGATGTCCAGACTAGCTTGTTCTCCGCCTTAGGGACATGCATGTGCCCAATCTACCACCAAAGATTGCGAGTGTGGCATTGGAATAGTTTAACGTCGATTTTTTATTGTGGCATTCGAACAAGACAAGAAGCAGTATGGAAAACATACCCATCTTGTATACACTTGCAAATTCCAGAATATGTTGCCCGCACGGGCAGGCCCATATACCTTGCTGCACTAATCTCGAGTATGTCTCCTGACCTCTGACGCCATTGTATACCTTTCGTACCCCGCTTCTACGGCTACGACCCCTCTCTTCACAGCGTAAGCTACGGTACTTAGCCGTGGTGCTTGCATATCGACACACAGAATGCTTGCTTGTGGTCACATTGCCACACCCGTTGAGCGAGAAACCAGAAGAACTGCTACTAGGCGAAACAGACCAGGCGACGGGTAACAAAATGCCAAGGGAATCACTCGGCCTGCCGTCCATGCGATCAACGGCATGCCGGCAGCAGCAGTGGTAGAGGCAGCACCCCATTCACAGCAGAGAGATACCTACCACGGCCGCAATAGGAGATGCAAATACGCACGAGCTCATGAGAACCGCCCCGGACGAACGAGCTAAGTCGACGTCCAGAGCATTGCCGTCCTGATCGCTACCGCTCTCGGTGGGGACAACTGGAGCACTGTCGACCTGTTCGTTCAACAGGCAATGTCCATCCATGACGCAGCCGGCTTGGTTTGCCAAACAGTCTGATTATGGCACAAGGCGTGAGAAACAGCGAGAGAGAGACAAATAGAGAGAGGGGGGGGGGGGGGGGGGGGGGGGG